TTGAACTAAGATTCAACTGCCAGGTCAGTCAGCTTCTCCTTCACTTCAGGCAGTAATATATCTTGGGCTTGCCCTGATGTTAACTCAATCATAAACTTGCACTTTGCAGTTTGCCCCACAAAGCAGAAGTTAGTAGAAATGGAAAGACCTCGGAAGTCGAACGGAATCCGTTCCGGAAGACTGTTCAACTTCCAAACCGTTCAGAAACCAATGTGTGTCTTCCGATTGGCTGCAGGAAGCTCCTGCAGCCAACTGGAAGCCCTGTCAGATGTTCGGGTTCCAAAGAACATTTGCAAACTGGGACACTCACTTCCGGGTTTGCGGCGTTTGGGAGCCAAAACGTTCGACTTGTGAGGCGTTTGGGATCCAAGGTATGACTGTATAAAAATATGTGGGGAAGAGACAAAGATCTGGGGCAACAAGTTACTTGGGGTTTAGGCTTCTTGACCCTTTCTGACAACCCCCCTGCTGTATTGCATTTATGTTTTCAGGATTCCCCCCCACAACCATGATGATGAAAAGCTTGGGGTTTTTTTTTGCTTTTCGCAGAAATGTCAAAGGGCTTTTTTTGCGTGGGGGGTGGGTTGCCTGACAATTGCATTCTTGCTTACAATAATAAATCTTTCTTTCTTTATTATTGTTTTTATTCTTCTTCTTCTCCGTTTTAAAATAAGAACACAACTTTTTTTTACTCATGAAACAAGGTCAGCCCTTGTGGCAAATTGACTCAAGTATTTGTAGATAACACACACAAGCTAATCTCCCTTTCTCTTTACAAGACATTTTTGTGGAAATCCAGAATTTATGCTTAATACCGACACTGTTGATTTCTCTCTTTAGGATTGTATAACCACCAGATGTCTCTAAAGCCATATTCTCTCATAAACATTTTATGCTTTTGAAGATGCTGAAAATCTTGGATTTATATGACTGTTATATCTGTCTACCCAGGGATCAAAAACTCTATTAAAATTATCCCAACTGCAGAGTCAGAAAATTTATTTAGCTGAGCAGGTAAGTTTAAGAATTTTTAGAAAGTCCTTATTTAATCTATATGTTTTAAATTCTAATAAAATGATTCCCCTCTGAGGCAGAAGATGAAAAACCCTTTAGCTGTGGCTTGATTTTTATTAAAAGTGCAAGTTAAACATAGTATGAAATAGAGTGGTACTTCGTACTCTTTCCCCAATGAAATAGGGCTCGTTTATCAAGAGTTTATCCATTTTTGTGAATATCTTTCTGTTATACAGTCCCACCCCACGAGACATTAAAAATGAGCATGACATTTCAGCTAATTAGGAGACACATCAGTGTATTACTTTTAGATAAAAAAGGGATAAGTTGAAAATAAAATAAAAACACCAGGGAGTTCAATAGAACTTCTGCTCTGTTTTCGATGCATTCATCCTTAAGATGATACACATACTCATCAATGGGGTTTTAAAACAGCTAGCCCAGGGGTAGTCAACCTTTTTATACCTACCGCCCACTAATGCATCTTTCTTGATGGTAAAATTTCCTTATCGCCCGCAAGCGCTCAATGGACGGAGGATTCAGATTGTGCCGTAGAACCCCCGACTGCCCACCTAGAATCCTGAAACGCCCACTAGTGGGCAGTAGGGACCAGGTTGACAACCCCTGAGCTAGCCCATTGAAAGTATGGACTCTGACATAGGTCCAGCAACCTTGGTAATAAATCTAGATGGAATGCTTGAAAGAAATGATCATCACCCCATTTCACATATACAGACTTCATACTAAGCACATTAACTAAATATTAAACAAATTTATTGTTCTCCTGCTTCCAAATGCAATTATGGTTAAGATGGTGCACAGATCCTTTCCTAGTCAGCTGTGTGTGTGTGTGTGTGTGTTCAGCTATTTCCAACTTCTCTTTAGCTGGCATGACATATTTGGGACAGCTATCTGTATCTGTGATTTTTACAAAGTAAATTTGAATCACTATCGTGTATTTCATGCTCAGCTGCCTTAATTGCACATCGTGTTACCAGCACAGGAGGACGAGCGCCACGATAAATTGTAGAACTGAACAATTGTTGCACATTGGCTTAATTGTGCAATAGAATGCTCAATTAAGTTGCTTTTATTTTGCAAATCCAATTATGATAATCTTAAAATTGCCTCCACTTTGGGAAATATACTCACAACAGAGAATGTGTGGGGTTTTTGGCTCAGAAAATGGAAATTGACTTATGATTCCTGTCTGAGGCCTAAATCTAGCCTTGCGGCCAATGAAGATAACCTCTCTCTGTGTGAATCCTTTTGCATTGTCCAGCCTTTGTCTTTATATTCCATGTTATCAAGTGTGTTAGAATTGTATTGTTTCATGTAGCATATTAAACAGCACAAGGTTGAGACAGAGAGAAATATTCCTAATGCAAGTATAATTCCCTGACAGCACTGAATGATTTATCCTATTATTAACTTCAGTTCATGTCATTAATGAGTTAATGTGGTGTGTGAATCCCAGAGAAGGGTGATGAAAAATGAACGTGCTAATCAATATTTTGCAAAATTTTAAAAACCAGTTTTGGGGGAATCAGTCATCGTTAAACGTAGATAAAGGCCTAATAAATCAAAAATAATGGAATACTCCATTTCAATGGGAAACACTGAAAAATTATGAGAGAGGCGAAGTAATGAAGTATGAGAATGTTTAGAAAATGAAATTGTCATGGAAGGCCCAGGCGGTGATAAACAGAAACCCATCAGTCGGTCGTTCTGGCACTTCTTCACTTAAGATGGTCTGTGCTTTGGGGCAGAGGAATGTAGTAAAATGAGAAAAATGAAATAACTGATTATGGTGATACTTCAGTACATGCCTCAGCAAGCATTTTGTTTGTTTCATGAGGGAGATTATGCAGTGCATAATATTGAGCAAACAAAAACAGGAATTATAACTTCTCTTCCTTGGTTGTTATTTTCCATGGTGGTATTTAACTTTGTTCTACGAAAAGTCATGGGTTTGCAATTCGGACCTCAATCCCTTTGTATGTTTTGCCTGATCTTATGACATATGCTTCCTCCCCCACTGTCTTCAATTCAATCCTATTTAGGTTGTGGCTCAGAAGCTTTTAAAAACTTTGCCAGTGCCTTATCTGAAATCGACATTACAGTTGTTAATCAGGCCTTCTTAAAATGATACTGTAATGGTTCTAGGGGTTGCTCGTGCGTAAGCCGGTGCAAACACCTGGCTGGATTGCCTGAGTGAACCTTTTCTGTCCGGACAGCCACTCACCCGTGGCTGACTCAATCGCTGGCAGAATCCGTCAGTGGGCGTTTCTTAAACTTCTTCCAGCAAAGAAGCTCTTTGATGCCTAGTCTCCGCCTACTCTCTCTGCGCGGAAGCCTTCTGCGCAAGGAGGGCGTAGGCAGCCGAGGACCTCTACTCTCCCCGCTGGTCCCCGGCAAGGAGTCATGGGACCGCCTCGCCGCTTCCCCCATCTGCCCCCCTTCTCCACTGGTGCTACGCTGATTCTCTTCCCCAGAAGATGGGCTGCCTCTCCCAATCCCGGGACGCTCTCCGGAATCCCTCAGGATTTTGCTCTCTCCCTCCGGCACTGATGGCAGTTCCCTGACAGATACTGTCTAACTTAAGAATCTGTTCCGAACACAAAGACAAACACACATTGTACCATTTGTGATAGGTGCTGTGTGTATATAAATTTCAGGCTTTCCTGACAAATTATATGCAAGCGGCAACTAGGAAAGGATTAAACACTTGCTCAAATGCATTTTGAAGAGAAAAAACACAACACGAGGAAGCAGCTCCTATTCGTGTAAAACTGGGGCTGAATCTGCTGCTAATATTGAGAATGCCATGCCGTTGGCCCACATAGAACACATTGTAGTAATCTACCCTGGAGGTTACCAGTGCATAGATGCCACCAGTTAGGTTATCCCTGGTCCATAATTGGTTGTAGTTGTATTACCATCTCAAGCTGGTAGAAAGCACTTCTGGCCACTGGCTGGACCACTAGTAACAAAGATGGTTGGTGATTTTTTAAAACTTTGTTAATTTTGTGGGAATGTTTAGGGAGGCAGGAGAGACTATATTGTTTAATAATATCCTTCCTAGCTTGCATTAGCAAGTTCTATGTCTTAGCATAGTTTAAACATCCCCCTTTAAAAGCGGTTTGCTTGTTGCAGGTCCGTCTGAACTTCTCCATCTAAGATCCCTGGTAAGATCCCTTCTTGTTCCTCTTAAAAAGAATATATACACACTGGCAGAGGAACGGGAGTGCAGAGGGAGCGGATCGCCCCTGGCACCACTATTCCAGTAGGGTGCCATCGCGGTGCCCCCTGACACATGCTGTGCACCCCTGCACGCACCAGGTACCATGGCCCCACAGGCGGCTCGGCACGCCCCCAGAATGCATGCCATGCCCCTGTGGGTGGTGTGCCATGCCCCTGGGATGCGTGCCATGCCCCCTGGGGCACGCGCCACGCCCATGCCTGCTCTCCACCCCCGGTAGTGGAGCATACAGCTTCGCCACTGTATACACGACAATCTTAATAAAGTGAATATAAAAGTAGTATACTCACATTTATTCAGTTCACAGTTAGATCCCTGAAGGCAGACTTAGGTTACAAAAGTATATATAAATGTGGAACTATCCTATAAGGGAGTTAGTCCCAAGTGACTGCAGACAGGCAGTCACTTCTGCTCACACATAGAGAAAAACAAAATGGAGAAGAGAGGAGCAAAAGAAGATGGTGTGCTCCTCTTCCCCAGATTAGGCCACACACACTCTCTAGTCACATGCAAAGGAAGTTTTGTCCCAGCTCCTGGCTGGTACAAAGCATCTCCTAGCATGTCCATTCTAGGAATGTTGTACTTGACTGCTATGTGTTTCACATCCCACAAATATAATAGTGGAGAACCTCTGGCTTATGGATCTAATCAGATCTGCCTGGCCTTCCTGTTCAGCCTGCAATGCTGTTAGGCCAAGCCATGCCTGCCTACCACACACCCAACCTCCTGTATGACATCAGGTGTGAGGCAGGTAAATATGCAATTTTTACCTGCCTCACACCTGATGTCATATAGGGCCGAAAGAGGGATTATAGGCACCAACAATCAGCTGACTGTGCTTTGCAAGCTCAGAGGATCAGCTGATTGTCCTGGGCTTACAAAGTGTTATCCACGAGGTTTTGCAAAACACTGAGGATCAGCTGATTCTTGGGGTTTGCAAAGTGTGGTACCTTTGTCACACAGCTTCATTTCAGGCTGTGTGGGCAAATTGGCCACACCCCCATGTCAAATTTGGGCCCTGGAGGAGGGGGGAATTGCCACCCTGCTGGATACAGTTCTCCAGCATTATGTTAGTGTTTCATGGCTTTGAATTTTGCTTTTTGAAATTTTTAGGTCAGCTATCTTATGTATTTGGTTTTGAATTAGCATTTGAATTTGCTGATGCAGAAATCATAAAAATTGTACAGAATATGTACACACATGAAAAATTCAGTCTTCAGCGTGTTTTCAGTGTGAGAATACCAACAAATGTAGTTTCTGAATTGGGCCTCTTTGAAGCACTATCTGGATTGTATTTTGAGAAGCAAGTCAAGTTTTGGTTAGCCCAGCTGAAAGAGTTTCAGATAAATTGAAAGATTAAAGAATATTGGGTGTCTGAAATGATAAATGGTACAAAGAGGTTTCTGTACGGGGAAAAATGGTGGTACTGAAGTGATATTTATCTATAAGAGTAAGAGACAAAATTGTTCGTGTATTTACCTAAAGATTATTGAAAAATGAAATCTCAACATCTTCCAGAAGATCTTTATGAGATTCAGATTAATATTGGCTCATATCCACTGCTTTTGCTCACAACACCAAACTCCATCTTAGATGCATCTGAGTCAGACTGATCGGTGATTGATTTTGTGAAATGTGAATTTATGCGATTCACACAAACTAACCCATGAAGAATCAAGGCTGTCCCTAAAAATATGCAGGACTTGAGACAGTGAAAGACTTTCATCGTTACAACCTAATGCCTAGATTTGTTTGGTGTCTCCTTCATTAAGAGTGTTATTCTTGGTATTGATTCAAAAACTTTAAAATGTGCTTTGCAATTATGGCTGAGTTCAGTTATAAAAACACCATCTCTCCCTCTCTTTTAAATGTTAACTTTTATGGAAGGCTTCTGTTTGAGATAGGTTTTTCACATTTTAGAATGCAAAGCAACCAAACCATGACTCATTTAAGTTCACGGTAGCCCATATATTTTCATTAAAAATGTAGCATTATAAATTTCAGAGAGAAAGTGTATATTATCCAAGGACTCTATTGATTGTATTGTCTGTACCCTGTATTTGACTCACTGTTAAAAGAGTTCACTCACCATCAAAGTCTTCCAAAACATTGGCATCCATTCCATACCACTTTACTGCTGGAGGTTTACTGTCTTTCCAATGTAGAGTTGTCAAAATACGAGCAATGACTAACATAAATGAAACCCACTTTTAAGTGAGTTCTTTCAAAATGTTAGTAGGGGTGGTGTCGAGAAGAGAGTGAGTAACACCTCCCCACAGTGTCTTAGACCTAGGTGATATAGTCTCAACAGTTACAAAGATTCTTAAAGGAAAACTCACTGAGGTTTCAGTAACTGGTTTCATTGATTTGCTGTGCCTCAATAAGTCAGCAGATAAATTCTGAAATAGCAGAATATGTTGCCCATCATGCTTTAATGCTTTGACAATTCTGTGTTGTTATTTTTGTATCTCTAAAACATAGAAATTTAACTACAGTGTCTGTGAGCTTGCCTTAAATTTTTTTTTTGGGGGGGGGTGTTAGTATTTCAGCATATTCACATTTTTCAGTACTTTTTTGCATTTCTCATGAGTTATTTCAAAAGACTTTTTAGCAGGTTTCACATGAGATGCATGGGACTAGGGCAATCACTTGTGCATCAACACTGACAGGACAGAAGAGGTCACATATTTGCATTATGTTTTGATATGAGGGGAGACTGAATAGGTGACTAGTGTACCTGCTAAATCTGCTGTGCAGGTGCAAACTGATAAAGGGCCCTTTTTTTTGAGGTTCTGTATCAAGACGCCTGCTTCTTGGGAGAAAAGTGATGATAAACCTAGATAGCATCTCAAAAGGCAGAGACATCACTTTGTCGGCTATACTATCCGTACAGTTAAAGCTATAGTTTTCCCAGTAGTAATGTATGGAAGTGAGAGCTGGACCACAATGAAGGCTGATCGCCGGAGAATTGATGCTTTTGAATTATGGTGCTGGAGGAGACTCTTGAGAGTCCCATGGATTGCAAGAAAATCAAACCTATCCATTCTGAAGGAAATCAGCCCTGAGTGCTCACTGGAAAAACAGATCCTGAAGCTGAGGCTCAAATACTTTGGCTACCTCATGGGAAGAGAAGACTCTCTGGAAAAAACCTCTGATGTTGGGTAAGATTGAGGGCACAAGGAGAAGGGGATAACAGAGGATGTGATGGTTGGACAGTGTTATAGAAGCGACCAACATGAATTTGATGAAATTCTGGGAGGCAGTGGAAGACAGGAGTGCCTGGCGTGCCCTGGTCCATGGGGTCACGAAGAGCCGGACACAACTAATCAACTAATCAACAACAACAATCTCTAAACCATACTTGGCTTATGGTGGACTCAAATGGTGGACTGTCCTATGCTAGTCATGCTTTAGGCTGCAATGCTAGCCATGTCTATTCAGAAGTAAATCTCAATGAATTCAGTGGGGCTTACTCCCAGGTAAGTGGGGTTAGGATTGCAGCTTTAGCTATGATTGGCAAGCCCTTTAATGATGGATTTCCTCTTTTCAGAAACTTTCAGATCTCCAGAGGAGCAGATGATTAAGCCAATAAAACTTTTTAAAAAATCAGTATTGCTAATAAATGCAAGCATCTGCCAAGAGTGGGTGGCAGAACTATAAAGTGTTACCTTCCATAATAGTCTTTCCTATTAATTTGTTTTAAAGATGTTTTCATTGTTTTAGTGCTGGTTGTTCACCACCCTGGGCTCCTTTGGGAAGAAGGATGAGATATAATTTTAACAACAACAACAATAATGTTCACATCTATCCTTCCTGTTTAATTTCTAGCCAACTCTAGAAATCTGTCCTGTTGTGTAAGATGAACTGTGATCAGCTGCTGAGGAATCAGCTTGGAGCAGGTTTTTCTTGGCTGATTTTGATTTCGGTGGATGTCAATACCATTCAGATAATGTGTTGGCTACCAATTTTCTGATTTGGCTTTTAACAGTATTCTCTTTGGGCATTCAGTTTGTTTGTGTTGTCTTCACTGTGCTGGCAGCCCCCCAGATGTGCCACATTCTGCTTTCCCCCACAGATAGAAAGAGAATTTTTGGAGTGGAGAGTCTCCTGTCCTCAAGAAGGTTCCCCATGCATTTTAGAACCTTGTCTAATCAGGGTCCCCACAGCAGGCTCCCCACAGCAGACTATTGACCTCCAACATGTGGAAGGCTGGAAATATGGAGAACGTCATGTTCCAGATGTGGCAGGGCTTGAAAGCATGTCCCTGCTTGCCATCGTGCAATGAAGATTGCACATATAAACCAAACGCCTATGTGGAGCTTATTTTATGGGCTAATTTGCCCTTGTGTGATTTAAGAAGCCAGCTTGAACTCTGTCAAGTTTTACTTCTGGAGGCTGTGTCCGCACTTCTGTTTACTGTGCATTCCAGTTTCCAGTGCTGAGTTTTTAATTCGTGTTCGCATGTGGTGATCCAAAATGCGTATGTACTGTACTTGTATCTGTTATAAAATACTCTTGATTGATGTGTTGCTTGTTTCCCCAAATGGCTTCAAATGGATTGTCTCGAGCCATGGCATGAGCACCTTTTTGTAGTGTAAAGACACCCTCACCCATCTACACTCACCGGTGGGTACACAAACAGAAACTGACACTATTGAAGCTGTGCTGATGTGAACAGCTTGAGCAGAAGGAAGAGCTGTGAAATACATGGGGGGGCGGTGTTGGTCGAAACAACTTGACAGCATTTTAAGGCTGTGAGCACACTCTCAGATGCTACAGAAGGATTGCCACTGAGGGAGGGGGGAACGGGGAGAGGTGGAGCCTGCTGTGGTAAGGTGGAAGCTGTAAATGCTCCAGTGTGTTCACAGAAATCAACTCATAGTGCTTTGGATCCCAGCTATTTTAAACAAAACATATAAGGGCAAAAGTATATGTTAAATCAGTAAACACATAATGCCTAAAACACGTTTGCCAGCTAAAACAAATGTGGGAGTGTGGGGGTTAGGATTTGCAAAGTAGGGCCATTGAGCTGGGGGGGGGGAGAGAAGAGTGCTGAACATTTAATTTGGTCACTAAATTAAGTGTTGATTCAGTCATTAATTTCCCTGTTATTTTCCTCTGTATCTGCATCAAAGCCTAACTGTGGGGACTAATAATTATACAATAGCAATGACTTCTAGGAGTCGGTGTGTGAAAAAACAGCCAATAAGAATGATAAAAGAAAATGATAAAACACCCTCCAACTGATTATTAAAGCATTGAAGAAAACATAGGATTAGGAGCGTCACACCTCCTTTATAATGTGTATAAAATATGTGTGTTTCCCCGTAATTATATGATTGTATTATAATCCAGTCTATAGTGATTTGAATATTCCTTTGTATTGTACTCTTTTATTAAAAATACCATTCTCAGATTTCCAGTAACTCAATAAAGGATTGCAGAAATACTTTTTATTAAAGACTTCTTTGGAATATAATTTGGTTAGAGACGTTTTATTCTCTTATCTCAGTTAAGAGTGAAATAAAATGTCTATTATATGAAAGCCAATCATGCTAGTTACCCACAACTGAAAATTAGCACCATTATTACCGTAAATCACACTGCTAGTTATATTTCAGAGACTATCCAATAATGAGACACAGTAACACAACCAGTCAATAAACTGCGTTCTGGAAATTGTTAGTCTTTTTTTAAAGTTGTGTGAACAGATCAATATGCATCTTGTTCACTTCATTATCCTACGAAAGTGAAATTGTGTTTATATAATAGCAATTATATAATTCTGAAAAGTAAACTATATCGAGCCTTCTTAGCAGTGATGCTAATATTACTCAGAACAGGATCACAAAAAGTAGTTGTGTCTATTCCTAACCAACATTTGTTTAGGTATAAAAAGGATAAATAAACAGACCTGCAGTCTACTCATATAACATGCTCATTACATCCCATACTTACCTTGCCAGCTAATTGGCATGACAAAGAGGGATAGATGTTTTGGATGGAATATTTTGTAAGGAATATCTAGATCTGTTGGTACACATTGGAGATTTTCATATCAAGCTAATGGCTAAAGACTGAATTCAACATGAGCCAATGTCAGAAAATTGCCCCCTGTCTCAGTCCCTAACTAGCTCAGTTGATTAGAGTTTGGTGCTGATAATACCAGGATCGCAGGTTTAATCCCTGTATGAGACAGCGGCATATTTGGTTGGACTAGATGATCCTCAGGGTCCCTTTCAACTCTACAATTCTATTATCTAAAAATGGGCTAATGTAGGCCTATGGCCATGAATCAATCTTTACCTATTGTGTTTGGATTTTGGATATGGATCAATTTTTGGTTTCTATGAGTAAGGGCCGTAGCTCAGTGATATAGTATGTTTCACATTCAGAAGATCCTGGTTTCGATTCCCACCATATCAAGGTCTGGCTGGAAAAGGCACCTGCTTGCAAACTTGGAGTGCTGTTGTCAGTCAGTGTCAGCAGTACTGAACTGATTGACAGCTTCCTCTGTTCCTAGGGCTGTGGTATCAAGTGCCAACTCGTATATCTGAACAAGCCATTAAGGAATGAATTTCCATAATACCTCAAATCAATTGAAAGCTGGGTGCTTTTTTACTTTTATGTCACAGCTGGATGCAGAAGAGTAACAGGAGGCAGTATGTGGGGAATATCCAAGGGAACCCTCATGGAAAGAAGGCTCAAAGCCAGGGGACTGGTGGTGGGAGGACAATGAGTGATCAGAGGAGGAAGAGGGAGCAGAATGGGAAGATGAGGTCCACTTATTTCAGTAGACCTTAGACATAACTAACAGTAGGCTCCTCCAGGCAACCTGCTTTGTGATCATTCATCCTGATGTGCTTGCACAAAGTTTGTGTGGAGGCTAGATGATATCTGGCCTTTACTGAGCATTTGTTCTGGTTTGTTTGTGGGCAGGTTATACAACATTGAGCATTCGTTCTGCATTCATCCTAATTTGTTTACAGGGTGTTATATGACTTCTTGTTAATCATTCATTCTTCCCACATTTTTCAATGCATATCCCTGGCACTTTTCTAACCACAAAATACAGTTCCATCCATATATATATATATATAGTGGTGGTGGTGGTGGTGTTTGTTTTGTTAAGCAGACAGAGTGCTTTAATCCACTTTAATTTCACAGACATAAATTCCCCTGCATGCGCCTGAATGACTCCTGTGAAATACTGAGAGTCTGGAGGCGCCCATTCTCTGACTCGTTCAGCTGTGGATCACCATGTACTGAGAAACCAAGTGACTAATATTCATATTTAAACCAGGCCTGTCCCACTAACAACCAACATAGAAGCACTTTCACCAACACAATGTAGAGAAGACGGTGAGTGCGTAAAATCCGTCGAGTCACAGGATTCAAGCATATCCTCCTTTTTATTTTGACTTCGTGTCCACCATCAAGTAGTTTGGACAATCCTCTAAACTGCAAGTAGCCAACATGGCTCCCTCCACATGCTGTTGGACTACAAGTCCCATCAGCCCCAGTCAGCATAACCAGTGGCCAGGGATGATGGATATTATATTCCAGAACATCAGGAGGGCACCATTTTGGCTACTCCTGCCCTTCTCTATATGTGGGGCTGGTGTTAGTGAGTCACAACATGGTACAAGCATGAGAGTTGGGTAGGGTGTCATTGGCACTGGGCCATGGTACCATATCCCCGGTTTAGGGGAAATTAACTGCATTTTCATGAATTTGCATTTTTTTATTGAAAGATGGTGCCTAGGTGCTATGTAATAAATAAATGAAAACAGATAAGCAGCAAGTAAGCATCTGCTTCACTATAAATAAGCACTAAGTTACTAGCCTAGGGAGCTTATATAGCTTGGCCATATGAAAAGGAGGTCAGAGCTTCTGCACTTTCCATAGTTGTGTAGACAAGGGGAATCTCAACATGTGTTCCTGTCTTGCAACTAGGAAAGGTGCAGGAACTGCATCCTCCTTTGTAGCTGGCCATCCCAATACCATAGCAAGACAAGAAACATTTTTAGGAGCCCAAGCCTCACAAGGTCATTACCATAATCATCTATCAGCTTTAGGGGCATGCTCAGAAGCATCTGGTCCAAGCTAAAATAGGCTTCAATGCCTCTAACGCTCCTTCTTGCATCCGCCAAGTGTCAGTGTGGTAGCAGAGATTCTCCATGGTTTCCATTCTAGGAAAATTAATAGCCTTGCCATGTTCACAAGGTGATGCCAATTACACGGCAAAATGGAAAAGCGGCAAAGAAAAACGAATTCAAGAAAATATGTATTCAGAATGTTTGGTACGCATGGCTGGATTAGAACCCAGAGATGCTGAATTATCCGCCTACATTTAAGGCTGCAGTCTAATGCACACTCACATTGAATGCAGTGGGTAAACATGCTGAGGACTGGAATGGGAAATGCCAAGGAAGTGAGAAACAATGCAGCTGGTCAGTGATGTTTCTCATGCTCTGTTTCAGACTTGTGGTCCTCCAGATGTTGTGGGACTCCAATTCCCATTAGCCCCAGCCATCATGGGCAATGGTCAGGGATGGATAAACAGAGCAGAAGTGGGGAACATCTGGTTTCCAACCCTGATCTGTTTATTTACCTTTCCCCACTTGCTCTAAGGTAATCTAGAGTCCTCCTTGATAAAGCAGGTGAGGGAAGAAGATGGACCAGGGGAGCAAGGAAGAAGCAGGGGTGTACCTAGGGGTTGGCTAGGTTGATGCCTGCCAGGGGCGCAGGCCTAGGGGGTACAAAAAAACCACACCTCTCTCCAGGCTTCTCTTCCACTGCTCTGTGCACAGATCTGGGCAGATCGGCGGAGAAATCCGGTCACCGCAGCAGTGGGGCTCGGGTGCTGATACATCTCCTTGTCAAGGGCGCAAGGGATTCAGGGGCACCGATATAGCTCAAGGACACAAGGCAGCCTAGGTACATCTCTGGGCAGGAGAAGCCACTGTTCCATCATATCACTTCTTCCACAGTTTTAAAGAAATATGCAACATCTTCAGGTTATGACTTGGCAATCCTAATGACGGATGAGTTCTTTTGTTATGTTATTCACCTGCAAATATATTGATATCACTTACTGAAACAGCTTAGGATCAGTCATCATATGATGAATCACTATGGATCATCAGCTTTTCAACCACTGAAGGCAAATAGCCCCCAAAATGGATTCCAAACTGGGAGGTGATCAGAAGTAATGGTCTGTGATGACACCCTCCGCGATGACTGATGTTAGCCAATTAAATGGGTGAACTCACCCACAGAAAATTGATGGAGATGGCTATTTGTGTTCTTAACACTGTTTACATTAAGCCAAATGCTGGTTACATTAATCATTCCAAGCCTGCAATCATTTTTTGTTTAAAGGCTGAAAATATGAATAAACAAATAAAACATGGCACATCATGATGCAGTTTATGCACTAGGTTTGCAGATGTCGCCTATAATTTCCTTTCTGTTTCATTTCAGTACAGGCCATATTCTATGCTGCAAAATTTGTCCCGGTAATTGACAGAGTAATCGCTCATCCTAAGACACAGGGCCTAGTCACAGACCAAGAATATTATTTTAGTGAAGGATACAAAATGATCAATCTCACAAGTAGATTAGTCATTCTTGGACCCAATGACGAAGGCCTGTCACTTCTCAGTTAGGGTTGCTATTTGCCCCTGTTTTCTTAGCTGGAATCCCATGCCCTTTAAAAGCTGTGGGTAAGAAGAAATTCAACAGGTGCGGCTTTTGCCACTGCTGTTGAATAGCTGTCTGCTATGTATCTAATTAAATCAACGGTGCCACGTCAAGGAAAAAATATGGAAAAGATGGAAACAGCGGCCTCAGCATAAATGACCCTAATACAGGGAGAGTCAACCTTTCAAAACTCACAAAAGCGGGTAGGACAGCAGTCCATTGTGCTTAATACTTTTCTTTTCATTGGAGCATGACAAAGGATGTCAAGTAAGATTGCAACAAGTAAATCAATATTTAATTTAAAAAATGGCCAGTGAACCCATCCAACCTTGGAGTTTTACTTGAAGACAATCTTTTAACTGCTTTTTATAGATAATAGAGCTTTGAATGTACTTGGAGATATTTTTAAGGGCCCAATCTCGATTTAGTTGTAGAGACCTATGGGGCAATTTGGAGACTGAACCTTGAAAAGAATAAAGCCTGCTGCCAGTGACCTTTGTATTCCCAATATGCAGCGCCTTGATTTATTTTTTGGTGTATCTATTCATTTATGTTCTTCTTCAATATTTATTTCATTTATATAGCACTTCAGTACACACACAGTGATGTCTATTCCTATGCGGTTTGTCTTGGCAACAGCACAGAGGGATGCTTCTTTCACCACGTCCCATTTTACAGGTAGGAATCCCTTCAGCTGGAAATGGGATTTGAACAAGCTCAGTTACAAAGGGAAGTGGTCAGTAGTGGCCGCTGCTGCTGCACTGCTCTCCTGTCTTCCCAATGCTGTGTTTTGCTGCCATGTACTGAGAGGAGGAGGGAAGGCCATGGGAGCGCAGCATGGGTGCAGCCATGGAGCCAATCCACTGCTCCCAGACCCTCCAAGTGTCCCTATTTTCCAGGAACAATCCCGGATTTACAGAAGCCATCCCAGTTTCTGAACTGATCCCGGAATGCCCTGCCTTTCCTTAGGATGTCCCTATTTTCATCAGAGTAATGTTGGAGGCAGCGGCGGAGCATGGTGATCATGCGCCTGGGGCGGTGTGCATGCCCTGCGCCCAGGGACAGGGCCAGCCACCCGTGGGGCGCGATCAATCAATAGACTTTATTCGCGTAGCCGACAGGCCATAGCATCAAAGGACAAACACCGACAAAAACACGTTACAAATATAGTTACCATAAAATCTTATGACCTATTAAAACCCGTGGGGCGCGATGGGGCGAGGCAGGATGCTCCACAGGGCCTCCGAGGAGTCTGCCTGCCTCCTCCCACTCAGTCGCCCTACAGCTGAGGGGGAGGCTGTGGGTGGACCGTTGGGGGCAGTGCAGAGCCTGTGGGCGCTCAAGCCATCACATCACTCCCAGGAGAGACGCGTGGCTCTGGTGCGCTGCAGGCCCCACGGTGAGTGACACCTGCCATTTTGTCACCCCCCTCAGTGGTGACACTTGGGGCGACCCGCCCCCACCACATCCCCCTTCCTCTGCCTCTGGTGGGA